GAGGAGCCGCCAGCGGGGCCCGGGAGCCGCCGCCGTCTCGATGGGGTAGGTGCGCGGCGCCGAGTTGGGGGGTCTCCGGGCGCGGGGGTCCGGGTCGCGTCTCCGCCTTTGTGTCTGGAGCGCGGAGCGGCCGCGCGGGGCTGCGCGGACTCCCGCCGCCCGCCCTGGACAGAGTTAGGGGAAGGAGGCGGCGATCCCGGCCGGCCAAGTTCTCTTCCTCTCCGCCGGCCCGGGAAGAAGGGGCGGGAGCTCGGGTGAATGAATGAGCAGACCCTGGGAGGACGTGTCGGGGTGCGCCCCCGGAGTCAGCACCCCATCCCACCTGCTTCGCCGTGCCCGGCGCCCGGCGCCGCCCTCCTGGGCTTGAGCCCGACTCCTTTGCCCAACTTGGAGGGTCGGGGACGGAGGTGCCGCGGGAGAGACACCGGTGGTCCTGGGGACCCCGGGCTCGCTATTGTTCCTGGCCGGCCCCGGGGGGCGCCGGCGAAAGCGCTCCTCGCGCGCCGCGGTCTCGGGGTCTCCCCTCGGAGAGGTGGGAGGATGTGGGGGCGCCCGCCCGGCTCCCCGCGCGGCCCCGCTGCGGGAGGGAGGGCGGGCGTCCCGGTGGCCCGCACCCCACCGGCCCCGGGCAGGTTGGTGCGCTTCCCGGGGCTCATCTGCTACCGCCCCGCGGGCTTCTCTCCCTCCACTTCTGGGGGCGAGGGAGAAGGTAGTGCCTGGAAAGGCGGGGACGGGGCGGGGGGAGTTTAAGGCAGATGGAGCCCCTCCTCCCCTGTGCGGGAAGAGGCCAAGGTGGCCTCGCAGGGGCTCGGGCGTGGGCCGTAGATCCAGGCTCCCTTTTCTTTTCTCTGCCAAGGAGCCAGCTCAGCGCAACTTTCTTCCCAAGGATGAGTGTGCCAAGTCTGCAGCGGCGCTCGGGGAGGCCGCTCACCTCGGATCTGCGGCCTCCCTACCCCGGAGGGCTCCCCCCCCCCCCGGCTTGCGGCGGGACTCCCTGGAACCGCTCGCCCCTGGAGACAGGGCTCCATCTCTGGGGAGTGATCTCAAGGCCACCGGGGCCCTGGAGAGAGAGAGAGGGTGAGAGGGAGGAACCGTTTTTGTCCTTTTGTAGGAGGTTTGCAGAAGTTTTCGTTTGTGGAGGAGGCTCACCTCGGGAAGGTTGGAAGGATTGGAAGAGACCTAGACTCCAAGGAGGCTAGATTTTGATTGCTTTGTTCACGGGCCCCACTGGGCCCTGTTCACTCGTGTGCCTGGAGGCTTTTATTACTGGTGGATATAATCTGGTAGGCTTTTCTTAATAATGACAGATGTTTTCCCCTCCTCTGCGTTTGAAAGGTAGTCACTTTTTATCAGGAATCAAATCCTGTTCTTAACACGTGAATTAGCGGTGCTTGTTTACAGGGTGGGAGAGAGTATCTCACATTGGACTGGTCTCAACTTCAGGATGACAGGCGTTCTTAAATGAGTTAATTGTAGAATTTACCCTCCTTAGCTTCATTTCCTGACTCCTGAGCGCAGTGATGGTGGTTAGAACCCAGTTGAAAAGCCTTGGTACTATTAATTGGAACCAAGTAAGAATGGATGCAGCATTTCTGGGGATTCATTTCTGGGGAGGTGAGGTCTGACTTTTCTGTCAACCTAAAGGCAGGTTCACCAACACCCCCTCCCCCTCCCCCCATTCATGGGAAGCAAACTCAGGGCATCCAACCTGGTAAGCTTACCCCCTCTCCCCCAAATAAAAAGGCAGAAAAACAGACTTGGAGGTTAAGAAAAATTGAGTCTAAAAGTTGAAAAAATGTGGTGGAGAAACTTTTGTCTTTTTGTCTCTCTAGCTTTGTTCCAAAGTTAAAAATAATTATGAAATATATACATATGTATATATACATAAATATATATAGTCGGTTGTGGGGCTTGAACTCTGGGCTGGGGCTCTGTTCCCGCACTCTTCAGCTCAAGGCCAGCACTCTACCACTTGAGCTACAACGCCAATTCCGATATGAAATATTTTTTAAAAATTACAGAAATATAGTAAGTCATTCATTTAGTTTTTCCATGATCTAGGTTGAAGAGTTGCTAATATGTCCATCCTTCATTCATGTATACTCTCTATAAAGGTACACTGGGCTTTAAAGGATTTTTCTCTACCTTCTTGGTCTCCAGTTTCAGGTGACCCCTAATGTAGAGTTAAGACATATAGTTAGTTCCCAAGCATGTTGTGGTAATTTTGTGTATTAAATCCACAACTTTGTGTTGAACAATATTTATTCATTTGTTGGTTGGTTTTTGGTCTTGAACTCAAGACCTCAAATGAGAACTCAGGCTTTTTCACTCATAATTGGCACTCTCGTATTTGAACCACAACTCCACTCTAAGTTTTTGGCTATTTAATTGGAGACAGAATCTCTCTGACTTTTCTGCCTCATTTGGCTTTGAATTAGGATCCTCAGATCTCTGCCTCCTGAGTAACTAGGATTTTATAAGCATGAGTCACTAACATCCTCAGTGTTTAACATTTTACACATGGTGTGATGCTGTACACCTACAGCTTTGCATTTAGATTTTTCACTTCAGTTTTTGAGGTTTATGTAAATATTCACTTTTAACTACTACAGAATATTTTAGTGTGTGAATAAATTATAGTATCCTATTCCCTTGCCAAGAGAATAATTAGTGTTTCCATTTTTTTATTGTTACTGGAATTTTTTTTGGCAGAGGGACAGTCTGCTTCCATTTTTTTAAACTATTAACAAACAGTAGTGTATGTAGTCCATATTTTAAACTATAACAGTAGTGTAGCACATATTTTGAAGCAGGCTTCCTTGAGCATAAGTTTCTGTTACACACTTAGGTCATTTGTTACTGAGTAGTGAGGTTTTGGTAGTGGTTTTTTTTTTTTTTTTTTTTACTATTTTGTACCTTCAGCAAATATTTAGGGTGATAATAAACTCCTTCACCACCTGTTGAATGAAAAGGTGAAAACTGATTTGTCATACTCAAAGAATTTAGATGACCTTAGCTGACTTATTGTTGTGGGTTCACTTTTTAAAAGAAGAAAAGTTTCTTTTTATTATAAAGTTCAGGCATGAGGAATATCATTATGCTGAGTTTAAGAATCAGAGGCCCGGGCCTGTCTCAGCTGTTTGTTGGTTCTGTGATCTTAGATTACTCATTTAGTGTCCTCTTCCTCAGTAAGATTGAGGGCTTTGAGTAAGCATTTCCAGAGGCAGGTTCCTCTAGGAAGGCATGAGAATGTGACTGTGTTGGTGACATATTTTGTCCCCCTATTCCCCAAAGTTCTTCATTTAAACCCATTGGCTTCTCCATTCTTCCATCAAACTGCTAGGCGCGTTCTCCCTCAGCCTTTGCATTTGCTGTTCTTTCTGCGCAGAGTTGTTCTTGAGGCATTCACTAGAATACTCCTGTCTAGCATTCCCTGATGCTTCTTTTCCTGCTTTCTTTCCTCCATGGCACTTAGGTCTACTGCTTTGTGATGTGTTTTAACTTTAGTATTACCTGTCTTTCTGTACTAGAGGATAAGTCTGTGAAGGCAAGGTTTTTTTCTTTTCCACTGTTATATCCCTATGTCACAACAGTGTTGACATCATACCGTATGTTCTCAAATATGTGGTGAATAGATGCATTTTTTATTTATGTTTTGATACAGGGTTTCACTGTACAATGATCCCTCGACTAGTGTAGGAGTTATGCTCCAGACCCCTGCCCCAGGTGAAAATCCACGAAGTAGCAGCTTTATATTTATTTTATTATTTGTGTATATTAAGGCTTTATAAACCCATTCCCACTCCCCTATAAACCTTTCCCACTCTCTTATTAACCTTTCCCATACTCTTACAAACATTTCCCATGTTCCATATGAATACCTTTCTACTTCAGAATCCTGCAATATAGCAAAAACACAGTGATGCAGAATTAGAATTGCATTAGAATTAGATTACAGAACTTTTTTTTTAAAACAACAACAACAAACTGTGATACAATGAAGCTGCAATAAGTGAACCGTGTATAGCGAGGAACAACTATATAGTCCAGGTTAGCTTTGAACTTGGAATACTTCTGCTTCAGCCTCCTGAGTGCTGGGGTTACAGATATATTCCATAACACCTAACAATCAATATAATTATTTTGTTATGATTTCCTATTAACTATCTCTTTACCTCCTTCCCTCTTCTATCCTTCCCTCCCTTCCTCTTCATTTACTAGATAGCCTAATGGTGTAAGTTGTGTTTATGACTATAGCCAAGTGACTCAGATGCCATATTTATAGGTCCTAACAGTTAAAAGAAAAATCTGGTAAAGAAACCACTGTCTAAATACATGTAATTTATCCCACCAAGCACTTGGGTCTTTAGATTTTGTTTTACCTAGGATTTTGCCTAAGTCTAAGTTGTAAGAAGAAAATGAGTAACGTGATACGTGGTGGCACACTTGTTTTCTTTTTCTGGACCTCACTTTCCAGTGTTACAAATGTATGCTCAAAGGATACTGACCCTCTAATTCACACAGTGTTAGTCCAAACAGGCCAGCACGGTCTCCAGCAACACCAAGCCCATTGAATTTCAAATAGCAGAACCATGTCTGTAAGTTCTTGCAGAAGGTAAGTTCACCATCACCCTGCCTCCCTTCATCTGGAATTGTAGAGAATGTTCATGGTGGTGCAAAGAAAGATGGCATTGAATTTGAACATTTAGGAGCAACCAATGTATAATAAATACCTAGAAATATGCTAAAAACTACCACTTATAAAATCCTTGATTCATGCTACAGAAAATATTCACTGTTACAGTGTACTGCATCATTTTGCTAGAAGCCAAGAAATTTTTGCTACCTGTGTGACAAATATAGGAGTTGCCTAAACAAAGCTAAAAATATTGCAGTCCTTTTGGTATATTTAAGTGGATGAAAGAAAAAAGTAGGCATCTTTCACTAGTATATGATACTGATAGTGTTCTTAAAAAATGACCAGAATATTGGAAGCATATAGCCATTTTATATGCCATAATAAAGTGCCATTAAAAATAAGTATA